TCTTTTCAGCTGTTTGTTGTTTGTTAACTTTGCTTTAAGTCTTGCGCGTTCTTCCTTCAAAGCATCAATTTCACTGGTTAAAACCTCAAAATCTTCAAAAGGAAAGTCAGTTTGAGTTCCCTTGTGATTGTTTGGAAGATGCTGATAATAATTGTAATCTAAAAGAACTGCCTCGTTGCTTGTAACACTGGTATCTTCGCCTACCTGGGTAACCCTTTTACTCTTTTTAGGTTTAGGATATTCATGGAATGTTCGTTTCTTCCTAACATCTAGTCTCTTTTCACGGGAAGAAACAGGTCCTTCCTTTGCCGAGGGATTAAAATACTTCGGTAATTCACCTGGAATAACCTCTCTTCTCCCGCCAAGCGACTTTTTGATAGAGGAAGCTTTGAAATGTGCACTGCAAATCCGGGGGTTTTTTTGACCTCGGAATTCGGGATCACTTCGTCGTCAGAAGTTCTTCCAAACCCTTCTAGAACTCTGTTCTGAAGGGAAACAGAAAAACGAAAGATTCGGACGATTCCTGGAACTGTTCAAGCAGTTCGCCACAGAACAAAAGTTCACCATAACTTCGGAAAATAATTGTAACTTTTACATTACAGGCAGTACACCGGTCTCTGTTTTTAATTTTTCCCGTACGCTGTCCTCCAAGCCTGGTTTACATGTTCGTTTCTAGGTCTCGGGAGCGCGCGTCCAACTATATCGAAAGGACCCTACTGAACGTCACAATCGAGATAATCTATCGGTTGGTTTTGTTCAAGAGAAGTTACTTTAGCCTAGAAACTGTCCACATAACCTGAAGCGAAACTCAGAGAGTTGATGCCATAAAATCTCCCTTACGGATTTGAATACTGTAACACTTTACTTAAAAACACTGCATCGCTTCACGAAAAATTAACGAAACGCCAACACTGGAAAGTAGTTTATACCCATGTATGATTTACACCCACAATTGAACACGTCACAAAGCCACGCTACACACGTACAAATACTGGGTCGTTGCCACTACACCGAGTGCATGTTTCTTATCATGGTGCTATTTACATTTTCAAGTGTTTTTCAAAGTTCACAACCCTCATGTCTGTCAAAAAACGTGCATCGTAGATCAGATAACCATAGAACCACTAGGTTAGTCTCCCTCGCAACCGTTTTTAGTCTCGTCACGCAACGCTCCTCTCCACAAGGGAGGAGCATTGCGTGACGAGTCTACCACTAGGTAGGATTTATCCACGAAATACCGCATAAGAGACTAAGCAACACTGCCACACTGCCACCCTCTCTTCAGGCTTAGTTGTACGGGACAACAAAGTCATCTAGGTTGCTGTTGTTATTTTGTTCAATGAACATTTGAAGAAGTATTCTTGACTCATGGAGTCCATGTAAAACTAATTTATATCAAAAAAGCCGACCTATATAAGGTAATCTCATTTTGCATATAATTGACGGCTTCCTGGTTGAGTGTCCTTTTTTAGCAAAAGCATTTTAAGGGAATGGGTCAATGGACTTTTCCTTTTGGGCACATGAATATCCAATCTTCAGTGGTCGAAAAAATCGTTTTTTCTTTTATTGGACTAGAGTGAAGTTAGACATTTTACCAAACGTTTACAAAAAGAAAACTTTTGAAATCTCAGAAAGCGACCGACTTATTTTGGAAAACTTAAATCAGGAGGGTGTCATAATCTCGTAAATGGGCGAACCCCCTGGGGGAATATTCGCGGCAATTTCATGTTATTCGCATACTTTGTTTACATCGCGCACCTGACAAAATTCACACGGGAAAGTTTTCTGCCAATGGAAAATCTTTTCTCATGAAGAAAAAGCAGAAATCAAAATTAGAGGAGTCCCTGGGCAGAGAAAAAAGAAAAAAAAACAGGCCCAAAAGAAGAGAGAAATGGCACCATTTTGTCAGGAAAAAAAACAGTCCTGCACTCCTCTCCACGCTGGCATCCAAATTACGAACAAAGAAGTCGCCATCAAATCTACATTTGTCGTACGTAAGGCTAAAAACGAAGTTTCCTTTCGATAAGCAAGTACGTACTGGCCTTGAATAAACCTACCCGAGGGAACTCATTTCAGCGATAAGGGTATTACTTAAGCTGTCTGTCGATTCGCTGTTTTGCTTTTCAGCAGTTTCTCCAGCTTTACCTTTCTTGCCGCGGGTTTTTTCTTTGTCAATTTTGCCCATTATTCAATGTTCGACAGAGCGAGATAAAAAAACGTGACTGCTATGCGATACTTTTTCCGGGAAAATCTTGATGCATCGTCATTGAGATCCCGTCTTCCCATTGGTTCGCGGTCTCAGGAGGCGAGATAATCTCTTGGTGGGGCACTAGTTGTCTACCGCCAAACCTTTAGGAACTAAAATCTTGGATTTGATTTTGAGAGGAACACATGCACTTTGAGCGAATTTATAGGGTGTGTAGATTTGACCGATTTTCGTGAAATTTCGCCAAAACATTCTAGGGATAACGACGAACGAAAAGATGTCAGGAAATTTTGATCTTTGAAATATTTTTCACCTGGTTTCCCTTTACGCATCACGTTTTGCATATTTTACGCTACTCTAACTTTAGATATATGCGAATATCTAGACAACCAATCAGAGTATCGGAAAAGCCTGACATGCTTTTGTTGATTGGTTACTTAAGGTTACTTCCCACCTTCGCGAGTGTCCTTAGGAAAAAATTCATACGCGCGCTAGTTTCAAGAAAATCCTAACAAACTATACATCAAAAGAAAGCTTACGAAATGCAGTTTACGATAAAAATATAATTTTAACGATTTTTTTCATTTAGGGAGTATCAGGAGCCGGTAAGACATGAAACAACCAAGTTTCACTGAGTCGGCGGCAAAACTAGCCCTTCCAAAATGACACGCTCTAGTGCTAAATTTGCTTGGCCTTTAGCTGACGGTGTGTGCGTTACGAGTGAAGGAGCGGTACACAAAACATGCACGTTTTAATTTGCAAATGGTAGAAGAAATTTCCCAACGATCTTTCTAATCCCGACAAATCATAGGGAAAGTCCTCGCGAAGGACAACCATTAAACTGGGTAGATGAACTCACAATTCTTGCAGATTTAATTCTTACCTCGTTCTTTACGCGAAACTCAAAATAGAATCGTTGATTGTCTCATATATAGCAATGAAAAATCCCTCCGTCGAGAACACAAACGCTAGTTAAACTTTCTCTTTCTTTTAATTAATCTTCGACTTCGAATACGCGGAATTACGGGAGGACTGGTTTAACGGCCCTCTCGTTATATCGTTCTTCGACTTCGAGAGCGCGGGACTGCGGGTGAACTAGTTTAACGGCCCTATCATTTCATTATTCTTCGACTTCAGGAAAGCTTGAATGCGAGACCACTAGTTTAAATGTCCTCTTAATATTATTTTTCGACATCGGGACAGCGGGAGGAATCCATTCATACCGGTCAGTAGCGGCCGGGTATTCTGAAGTTGTTCCCATCAACATCTCGGGCACTATTTGATTCAAAATTTTTCTCATGTTCCACTCAGTCTCCTTCAGAACGAAGAGTAATCATAGTCGTACAACGATCACAACTCCACCGTTTCCTTAATTCGCGTACCACTCTCTCCGAGTCGCGCGTTAATTCGCTGAAATTTGAAGACCTGTCAAACCACAAATTAGGGGGCGGCACGGGTTCGAATCCTGTCGAGGCATGAATTTTTTTTCAGGTTTCTTTTCTGCAATTGCTTAGATTGCAGTCCACACGCGAAGATCATTTCTGTGCTTGAATGTCTCTTTAAAGAGAGTCAAAACCGCTCATCTCACTTTGAGTGTTTTTAATCCAAGTCTACCTAGTCCAAAGTCAAACGAGAATAGCGAAATGTGGCATCTTTTATTTCCTGTGTTCAATCTAACTCTTCCATGTCGCCAAAATCTTCTCTTTCCTCAGAGTAAATTTTGTTATTTTCCTCTCTAGATTCAAATGTCTCGACTAATCCATTGTTGGATGCCACACAACTTGACACTAGACAACACTGCGCTTCAAACAAAGGAGACAACACAAGTTCCAAGTCTTTCCGCGTGATTTCCAATCGAGCGAGAAGAGCGTCGAAGTTCTTCTTAGAAGACTCCATTGCTTTTGCTATGCGTGAGTTCTTTCTCTCGAGTCTGTCAAAAATGAAACAAAATGTGAACCATCAGCATTTACTTTCTGCAAAGAAAACCTAGAAAACGATTTTAGACAGCAAAATTAAGAAGCCAAAAGGGTTGGTTGAGGAAACGATTCACCTATTCACGAAACTTCAATCTTGTATTGAGCATGTACATGTACCATGTCTTTGTGTCTTTTCCTGGCGTTATTCACCCTCTTTCTACTCAAGTGTCATAATTTATCGTACCTCTCAATAAATTCCTTTCTTTTTTCCTCATAGAAACCGAGGATCTCGCGGTAACTTTTAATGATGTAATGTAAAGAAGTATCAAGATAATAACATGTAAGACTAGTATGGGCTATCGTTGGGTTATTTGGTCGACTAAACTGATAAAGAGAAAGATATACCTACATAAGAATCAAAGCCAAGGAGAGAATTCTCCACTGCAAAGGCTTCAGAGTGATGTTTTTACTATTAAGACTAAAATAGAGGATAACAAACAGAGATATAAATAAACAAATCAAGATGTAGAACATATGGTGTAACCAATTTTTTGTTGTACAATCACTGATTAGTAAAGTGTCAGTACAGGCGGCCCAGGCTCTATCACGGGCTCTGTCACAGGCTCTTTCACAGTGGATTATTATAGAGTTTTTATAGTGGTTTAGTTGGACTTGCTATTGAGCTCCGTAAATATAAAGTTGTGTGAAACAATCAAAGAAATAAAGAGTAGTCTGTGCTGTTCTTGTCGCGATTTGAGACCGTTTTGCTGTGTTTCAGCCTAACGTCCCTGCACTACCAAATAAAAGGGAAGGTAGGAAAGCTCCGTCTCACACACGCTCGCAAAAATCGCTCGAAAAACACACTTAAATACTTCCCCTTGATTCGAAACTTGGTAGCACGAAAGCCAAATAGTTGCCCTTCAAGATCACCAAAACAAATCCCACAAAAGTTGGGTTGTCGAGCAACCAGCCCAGCGAAAATCTCAAATTCACCGCCATTTCAACGCCATTAGAATGCGCGTCCGTCGAATCGTGTGCAGTCAAAGTTCGTTACGACGCGGTCGGCCCGGACACTAGCAAAACTGACTAGTCATTCATATCGTGGGGCTACCCGTTGTTTCCCGTTGGGCCTAATTTTGCTAGTGTCCAGGCCGATCGCGTCGTAACGAACTTTTGTAACTGCACAGGATTTGACGGACGCGCTTTCCAATGGCGTTAAAATGGTGGTAAATTTGAGATTTTCGCTGGGCTGGTTGCTCGACAACCCAACTTTTGTGGGATTTGTTTTGGTGAACTTGAAGGGCAAATATTTGGCTTTCGTGCTACCAAGTTTCGAATCAAGGGGAAGTATTTAAGTGTGTTTTTCGAGCGATTTTGGCAAGCGTGTGTGAGACAGAGCTAGAGCTTTCCCACCTTCCCTTTTATTTGGTAGTGCTAGAACTTTAAGCTGAAACAGCAAAACGGCCTCAAATCGCGACAAGAACAGCACAGACTACTCTTTATGAAGGTAAGACTTAATTTCTTTGATTATTTCACACAACTTAATATTTACGGCAAGTCAAAAGCAAGTCCAACTAACCTACTAAACAAACTCTACAATAATCCACTGTGAAAGAGCCTGTGAAATAGCCTGTGACAGAGCCTGGGCCGCCTGTGGTGTCAGTTGAGATTACAATCCGCTCACTTTCGTTGAGTTCAACGTTGTTCTTCTATGAGAAGTGATTTCTAAGCTTTCCGAGTGTTCTCCCAACATCCCGAGTGACTTTATGACGAGATAGAGCCCGGAAAAATACGTTCTATTGCTTTTATGACATAATTAGTTACATGCAGGCTCTCTAACCTGATAAAGCATCCGCTTGGAAACTGAATCTGACCAATCAGACGATGCCTAATATGTTCAAATTATGTTACGAAAGGCAATCAAAGAATAATTTTAACCTTGACAAAATTGACATTAATTGTATCAGTTCACATTAGGATTACTCTCTCCTGAAAACCCACTCACCTAAAGGTGTGAACAAGCTGAGTGACGTCATGCGATACTTCCCCAACAGTCAGCTTGACTTCACTCAACAAATCTGGCATGCTGGGTAGAGAAACATGAGTATTTTCTTGCAGTAGAATCAGTACATGAATGTAACCTTGTCAGAGCACTTACCGAAGAAATGCCGTAAGAAGACCATAATAATCGCAACCACCAATCAGGGAAACGTAAATTTCATAAAGAGCCAGTAAGAACTCAGAGATAATAATTTTGTAGATGGCCCAAACAGCGGGTAAACGAGAGTTAGAAAGACACAATTCTTGATTTTCACATGACGTCATCAAAATTAAAAAAAATTAAGGAATTAGCAATCTTTTTTAGATTTCAGTTTAGTTATTAGAACAGCTAAAGACTTTTAACAAATTCTCAATTTGATAAGGTTTTACCTCTTGTGATAAAGTAAGGTTATAGTTCTTGGTTACGATATTAAAATGGCGGTCGTGAATGTTAAAAAAAAAAGTGACTTATCCGCTGAAATTTCCCAATCTAAACAGTCCTTGTATGAGAATAAGTAGCTGACGGCCGCCGCACAGACCTGATTCTTCAGTCGCGAGTCTGTTTGAATATTCATCTTCTTTCATCTCTTTTATCTAATGACTTTCTTTGTTGAATGGTTTTGATGAAGGCGTGACAGTGAAAACCGGCAATTGGATCAAGATTGGCAACTCATTAGTAAAACAGGTGACTGAAGTAATAACCAGGCAAAGTTGGATTACTTTCGATATCCAATTGAAGACTGCACTCTAAGGTGTTACATTCTTTGATATAAATCATGATTGCCCGGTCACACTAACGTTCGAAACAATCTTTCCAATACAATTCGCCTTCTAATGGTGATTTGCGATTTTGAGTCGATGGGAGGCAGATTACAAACTTTATCCTACAACAAAAAAAAATCAGATATAGATTATTAGAAAAAAAAGATAAACGTCTACGACCCTACTTAGTTGAGATTTTACTTCATAACGTAGATACTATTTCTTAACTTTGATTTTCCACCAGCAAAGGTTAGTAAGGAAATCTTAAATAAGCGAAAACGCATTTTCATAAGATTCAGCAAATTCGCGGTCAATAAAGAAAAATGCCATTCGTATTGCTTTGAGCTTGGGACAAAGATAAATCCTCCAAACTCCTTACTCCGATGTTCCACCGAAATCCGATGACCTGGGGGTTCGTATTCCGCGTGATAAACTCAAATATTTTCTTTGTCTCAGGCTCGTGGAAAGACCAACATCATTTCTTTTTTCACTCATGACTGGACACAACATTTACCACCTTTGCTAGTCAAAATAACTTTCATTCAGTAAACTTAATGATTACTGACGGTGTACTTACCTGATTTGGGGATTTATTTTCTTTTATCACTATATTTCCTTTGGTCATTTCTAGACCAGCGTCAGCGTCTGCATCACAGTCTGAATCTTCACTGTCATTCATAGCAGCTTGGAAGAACTGAAGAGCCCTGGCCATGAAGGATTCTGGGTCTGAAAGGTTTGAAGGTTCACCGTGCTAAAACGTTTTCCTCCAAAACATTTCCTGGACAAGTTTTATTTGGCAACTTTTTCTCGAAAAGATTTTCCAAACAAGTTTCCATCAAAAGATTTCTTAGAAAAGTTTTCTTTCATAGGTTTTCGTCAACGAAGTCGAAGTAAAATGTTTCCTTTTACGAGTCTTTTTTCCAAACAAAATAAACTAGTTATTATAAATAAAATTACTTTGACACCAACATGGTTTACAACCGCAGCACATTGTAGATCAATCGGTTTTAACTGACTAGTTATTAACTTCTTCCAATTTTGCCCCAAATAATCGCCGAGATCTTGATTCCTTCAAAGCCCGCCGACATGAAAGTCAGAAAAATCGTGAACTTGCAGTCTAATAATCGAAGAAAAACGCTTACCTTTGTCTTTCGCCTCTAGCGTGACTCCTGCGGCTTTTGGCTTTACAGAGAGTCCCAGATATTCAAAGGTAGAATGTGTGCACCATTCCTGGAACATAGTTCGGGCAGATTTAATTACTGCGTCACTGTTCAGTAATTTCTTGTCAAAATCCAGCTTCCTTTCGCTTTCAGAAGTAAATTCGCTCCCAACCTTGCCAGAATCTAGCGTCTTCCTCAACGATTTGGCAGGCACTTTAAGTAAATGATTGGGCAAAAGGTCAAGTTCATTCGGTATCTGTTCAGGTTTTTCAAGTAACAGATCTGTTTTGTCCAATAAATGATCTAATGCAACTGATTTTTCAGGTCCGCACGCCAGAAAAGATGTGCACAAAGACGATGACAAGTTCTTTGGAGGATTGTTCTCACTGTAAATAGAAGAATTCTCGTGAGATGTTATAAGAGAATCTCTCTCACGAAACGTTTCTACACTATTGCATGCCGTCTCTCCATACAAACTTTTTCCGCTTTTATCGTGATCCATGATGCAATCATCTTTTGCGCCATCACTTAAGAAAATTACAAATCCAATCAAAGATAAACTTTAAGAGGAATACTTTAAACTTTTTATGACGTGAGTAAGAGTTTTTAAAACAAGTTTTGCTTTGTACAAGAGTTTTTGTGCACCAACCATCAATAAACTTGACTCATGAAGATCCAAAAAATGACAAATCAATGCCCACTTTCATGTACATTTTCTCCTTGCAAATAACCTAGGTTTGTTGTTGTTAAGAAGGTCAATAATTGAGATTTCCATCCCAGTGTGTAATTCAATTGACACCACCTCTAGCCTTCCCCTATTAATTTTTAGCTCAAGTGTCCTCATTTTTAACAAACTGTTAAAACAATTTGATTTTGGTAACAGTTCCTCTATATGATGAATATACGAAGTTCATATTTGTTTTTTTTTTTTTAACTAGGGTTATAGATACGTATGATGCACGATCCTCGCCGTAGAGAGCGCTATTTATGCAATAGCGAAAATCAGACCTGAAAAAAATCAGGCCTGTACGGGATTCGAACCACTGACCTCTGCGATACTAGTGCAGCGCTCTACCAATTGAGCTAACAAGCCAACTGGGAGCAGGCCGTTAAGTTGATTCGTAATAAACCCGTGATGATAAATCAGATACAATGAATATATGAAGTTCATATATTTTGAACTGCGGTATTA